TCATTTTTAAAATGTTCTTAAAAACTAATTGTTACTTCAATCGTAAGTCGACGAGAATAAAACGAATGCATTAGTAAGAAAAAAACACAATGTTATTAAAAATAAAGGAAGAATATATATATATATATATATGCACGGATCGAGCACACGTTTCGTACATAGTGATACACACTTCTGGTATATGATAAGGGATACATATTTCTGGAATATATCTAATAATATCACATTACTGGTATAAAGAGGTTGAGTATCTTATACTAAAGTACTTTGGAGCTTAAACACATCATTAATGCCCATTTTGCCACGTCCAGTCATGCTTTATCTGCATTTTAGCAATACCTTGCTGCGTAATCTCCATTGCAAAAGGTTGTCATGGTCAAAGTACACCAGTGTTCCATGTCCGCTTTCAATAATCCATCTCGTATACGAGAATGATGGTTTGCAAGCTCCTGTTTTAACGGTTATCGATAAAAAATCCATAAGTGCTGTGTCCGACACTTTAATCGGTATGTCTTCGTATTGAAAAAGCATGCATACTCATTTCATTTTCCAGTTGCTCAAGATATGCGATGGTTGAACGGATATGTCATGAAAGCAACTTGTGTACACGTGACTTGTGTTATTTTCCAGACGAAGATTATTTTACATTATCTCTCGTTCTGTTGCATGAGGCACATGGGAAGCATTTGTCACTTATTTTAGTTTTCGTAGATTCTCACATATTAGAAGACGCCACACTTTCCTTAAATGGGTTGGGTATGACTTGTTTGAAGGTTCATGATGTCCTAAGTTGGTCCATATTCAATTATTTTCCAATCTCATTAAGTACGTGTTTTATCTTCCCCGTGAAAATTTTAACTGCCTAACCTAAACAAATCTTGATGATCTAAGTGCTGGCATCAGAAAGGGTTCTTACATATCCTTCTCTAAAACCCTCACTTTTCGGCGGTATCACATTAACTACATAATGCCGAAAAAAGTTTAAATGTAGTTCTAATACATGCCGTTCCATAGCGACTTTATATTGGCTGTGGCTTCCACGTGATCTTCTGAATTATGTAACGAAAATAATTTTAATATAACGTATTCAACTTGTGTATATCTAATGTGTCGTGACAAAGCTTACCACATAACTTGAAATGAGATTTAAACGGTAAGTATCGTACTTAAAACTTAAATCTAAACAAAGTTTATAAAATATCTATACAAGTGAATCTGGTTTATTTCGAGGGTTATTCATGTAGGCTTAATGTAGTTTGAGATCAATGTTATTAACTTCTCCAAAACTTAAAACTTTAAGACACAACATGGCTGGAAGATAAAAATAAATAGATAACAGTTATCTTGGTAATGGGTTATTACAGTCAAATTATAAAATTGTATTACAGATTAAGCCTACGATAAACGTCATACGAATGTAACATCTGGTTTGTAAATTGCTTGTATATTAACGATTACAGAAATGCTAATGGTTAGTAGTCTATCATAGTTACATGGGAGAGTATTGCCTACATGTCTTGTACTTATATAAAGATAATTATAGTATGGAAATGGAAACTTATATTAGTGAGATTGTTGAGTGTTATTGGCTATAAAAGTTGGAAATACAAGTTGGTGTAAGGTAAGTTCATTGTGTTTCACATTTGAGACAAATGACTGATTTTGGTCGTAATTGTACATCAGCCAATTAATAACATCATAATAACTTACACTTTCTACATCATGGAATGGCTTACAATCCAAAACGCCACTCAGTTGCAAAATTTCATGAGAAGATATTGGCTTAAAATACTGTTACTGTTATGGATTTCGCGCAAAGGTATACCAGGGCAATCTGCGCTAGCCGTCCCTAATTTAGCAGTGTAAGACTAGAGGGAAGACATCTAGTCATCACCACCCACCGCCAAATCTTGGGCTGCTCTTTTACCAACGAATAGTGGGATTGACTGAGACATTATAACGCCCCCACGGCTGAAAGGGTGAGCATGTTTGGTGTGACGGCTTAAAATGAAAATTACAAAGAACGATGCTTATTCCTGTAAAATGATATGAAAATGTTTTATTTTCTCGAAACTAATTTGAAGACTTTGTTTTCATGAAGAAGTATTCACGTTTACAAATATTCGAGTGCATCTTTTTACTAGTGAAATACTGTCATTTAGTTCTGGTATTACCAATAAAATAGTATTATAACTAGTTTGTTTTAACTGAAAGGAGCACATTTTTTGAAATAATACAAATGGTGTTGTTAGTTTCTATACTATATACAAACAAGTGTTTTGAATAGCAAGTAATACTAGAAACGGTATTTGTATTTATGGCACAACTACCAAGGCCATCTACCACCGTCCCTAATTCTAACTAACAACCAGAGGGAAGGCAGACAGTCAGTAGCATCTTACTATCAACCATCCATGCTAATGGATTGATATTCATTCTTATAACGCCCCGATAGATTAAAATATGGGGATTATTTTGTAGCATCGCAAGGATTCGAACCCAGCACGCTAGCTCCAAAATTCATAGCTGTACACAGAGGCAAACCTAGACTACGAAACCATACTTCAAATATTTGTAATACAAACTGTGTTTCACAAAACTTGTTAGCTATGACACTAGTGGCTTGTAGTTGGAAGTTTATTTTATATCATCAATTCAAAACGTATGCTAATACATGGAAGATAATGAAATCTGTTTTTTGCGTGTCATAATTTCAAAACGAACAATTTCTGCCTTTGCCCTAAACACTTCGAGTACCATTAGCGGGTAATTTTAGGACATAACTATAGTGAAACAACACGTCAAACTGAAGCAATCATAAAAAGGACAAGTTATTTAATGTGCTCATGACAGGCGACTACACGAAACAATCTCAGGTTTTCCATAAGTAAACCTTATATTCTTATGCTGTCCCTCATAAATAAAATTCATAATCTGTTGGCATAATCTTATATAAATAGGCCTAAACAGTTACAGGTTATCATAAATTGTAATAAGTTTACTCACTTATATTACCTCATGTGTCAAAATACTTTAGTTGTCATCCTTATTTTGTAAACTTTGTGAAAATAGAACCGATAAATCAGTTTTTACCAAATATAAACATATTAAGTGTTTTCGACCTGTAGGGTTCAAATCAAACTTTTTTAATTTAATATTTTATTGTATTAAAATAATACATAGAGAACCAATTTTGTTATAAACGACCTCAATCTATCTCGTCAAGAGAGAGACTTGATCGAATGTGGGCCTTTTGTAGGTTTTTAGGTGTTGGTAGTTGTTGACTTAGAAACCGGTTTCTAACACTACCGATTTCTAGGCCTTCAGCAACAAATATGATCCAGATTGTGTCCATATACATATATAGATACATTCAACTTTCCACCAGATTTTAATAAGTTAGGTAAATATATTATAAAAATGAAGCTTGCCCAATAATACTATATGTTTAGTGTTAACTTTTCGAATGTAATGGGAAACGCTCCTTTGCTTGCGGTGTTTACAAATAATTAATTTACCTTGTGGTTAAATAACCTGTCTTTTTTAAGCAATCTTTACTTTTTTAGAGCGAAGCGTATATAATTTTGGCATAGAAAAATTCATATTACATACATTTCGTCTATTGTTATACTATCTGTTATGGCTTATGTCATTAAAACATTCAACGTTTGATCCCTGCTTTCCATTATATCGCTCTCTGCAGAAGTTTTATAGAACTTTTAATGGTGTAAATTGACCATATCTGATACATATATACTGAAAATAACTGAGAAGTGTTTACTTTTATCTAACAAGATTTGAACGAAAATAATTGTCCAATGATCAATTTTTTCAATTGTAAAAGAATTGCAAAAATTTGTTGAAAAAATGTTATCATAACATTAAACGAAATTGTCTGTTGTTTTGTACGTTAGTGGCTCCGGATGATATCAATACGTCGGCAAATTTACTGGTCTCAGCAGAATTGAAAGTCCGCTTCGTATATTGGAGTGCAGTCAAACCGCGATACTATTTATCACACTGTGTTGCTTTGGTTGGTATTAAGCACAAAAATCACACAATGGGCTTTCTCAGCTGTGCCCACTGTGAGTATCGAAACCCGATTTTTATATCCTCAGATTTGCCACTGAGACACCAGGTGGTTCAATTTGTCGCGTTAATAACGTCCAGGAGCTTTTACCTCTTACGTAAATGTCCAGTACTAAGTAAACTTTGTTTTTCAATACTAAAATATCCATTGAAAAACAAGGTTTACTTAGTACAAAATGCGTATGTTTATTTTATTATTACCAAAATGATGTTATGTATCTACATGTTAAAATCATTATTATATGCGTGTGATTATAAAAGCTTCATTTTATAATGTCATCACTTTAAACAATCAAAATGCTGGGAGTGAAACACTTATATTGAAAATATTATGTGTCTAATAATAACTTCTAAATAGAGGATTTAAAAAATTAATGTCAATTATGAAAACAGCTTCGTAATGTAGTATTGAAAAACAAGGTTAACTTAGTACTGGACATTTTAGTGTTGAAAAACAAGGTTTACTTAGTAATGGACATTTTAGTACAGAATATGAGTATACAACCAACTTAACTACACGAAAAAAAAAGATAATCGTACCAATGTTATGAACAGATCTAATATAATAAAACGCGATAAAAACAGGTGTATCTTCAGTGAATAAACTCTGATATAATGTGTAACTACAAACATGTTAAATTTAGGACATTTCCACATTTTTGAAATACTTTATTAAACGTTCGGTAAATAACTCTATTCTTGTCTCATGTATTAAGTATTTCTAATGTAACGGCTTAACACTGATTGTGTTAACATACTTATGTAAGACATTTTTATGCTTATGTGGGTTAAAAATTGTTCGCAAATATGGGCATTGTTTTAATGACATTTTATGCATTACAAACGCTACGAACAAGAAAATGCTTAATATGCGACATCCAATGCAATGGAAATTATCTTAAAATACTTACTTGTTTTGGTGGCGAAGATACTGGAAAACAATTGCATAAAGACTAAAAGAAAATCCACTTTGTGTGACATAGTAAACGTTAGTTTGGTAGAAAGCCATCAATTACATCACTGCTTCATTCAACAATGAGATATTACCAAGTGTTCGTCGGAAAAATAAATAAATAAAAGTATTTCGATTGTCGTTTAACTTGATTTTTCTCAAAAGCCAAAAGGAAATCTTAACCAAAGAACGTGTGCCCGCTGCGACCACGGGCTCCAAGTAAACTGAGCAGAAGATATCGATAGAAGGAGTTTCATTTGAAAATGATCATTTGCTGGCAGTCTGGCGAAATGCCAGTAGATGCAAGCAAAGCGACACCTATGAAAATTCTTAAGAAAGTTGAGAGATTGTATAAATTTTTAAGAATATTCGAGCGATATGGCTCAGATATTCTTTATATATATATATATATACATCACCGTGTATGAAGCTGTATGTTTATGGTTTTGTTTATGTTAAACCCTTAATAAACTGGCTATAGTAAAGGAAAATATATCATTTAATGTTCTCTTTGTGTTTCAACAAAGGCTAAGTCATTTGGAGATTAAACAGTTGGGTTAGACACGAGATAAGTGACAAAAGAACATGGACAAATGTTTATATTTGTGTTTATATGCTGTAACATATATATACCTTATACGAGTGATTTCTAAGGATTTCATTTACATAAAGGGCAGCAACGCAGTGTTGTGTGTAAATAATAGTAGTATTTTGTGGACTGTAACATAAAAGTCTACTTAGCATCATATACAGTTTATCTAGTAGAATGTTTTTATAAAGGCAACTTTGATTTCTTTGAAGCCTGATCGGAAGTGGTAAAAGGACAGGTGCTTAGGGAGAACAAGTGAATGTTTAAAGGTCCAAAAATGTTATTTAAACTATCGCAGTTTATAGAATGAAATACACTCCTTGGCTACGCTTAACATTAAACGCAAAGTTTTAGTGAATAATATTAAACATGTTGTCCTTAGACATTCCACGCCTTGTCGTATTTATGTTCATTTTAGGCTTAGATGACAACGTGAACACATAGCTACAGTAGGATTGAATATATTCCAATCACGCGAAGTAATTACTTACGCATAATGATTTGAATAAACGCATATGTGTTTAGATTACTCTTAACACATATATTTAATACTTTCTAGTAGTCAAGTTACATAATAAGTAGAAAATAAAAACTGAAATATCATTAGTATTCAATCCATATGGTCAGTCTTAATACGATATCTATATGTTAGTTTCTGTGCTTGAATAACGAATTTTCTAATTACGATTTGTTAGACGCGTCCAAATTAATCAACATACATAGTATGGTTCTGATATTCAGCAGACAGGTAGGTAGTTATAGTGACTTAAAATACGTGTGGCACTTTAGACTCATAGAAAGTAGAGCAACAGTAATTACAGTATTATTAGCTCTCAGATTATAGCATTTCTTCGAAACGTAAACAACATTGTATTTCACATTCAAATATATGGCAGATATCCAATCGAACAAATATGGGTTCTGATAAATTGTCAGTAACAAAAAAATATCACTTTTATGGTTGAAGCTAAGCCCAAAGCAACACAATAAGCTGTCACGTACTTTGCCCACCACGGGTATTGAAACCCGGTTTTTGGCGTTGTAGATCTGCAGACATGCACGATACTGTTAGTGCTTTCCAGAAATGGAAGAGCTGAAGCTATTAACATGTGTTAAAAATACTCGCTTTTATATAAAAAAAAAAAGCCGAAAAGACTTACGTTTAGAAACTTGAAACTGCTATGCTTAGGTTCAGGAAGGTTAGTAGAACTGTACATTAAACACACACACTAAATGTTGCTGCATGAACATTAATATGACAATAAGAGGTAATGGATTTATTAAGTTAAGTGTTTTCCCAGAGTGGATAAAAGACAAACTCTACGAGGATTTGTAACTAAGACAACAGGCACATACGGATCATAACGTTATAAACTCAAGTAGACATTTTAGGGGGAAGAGCTGGGGATGATATACTGTTAAGATCTCGTCGTAGCTCTTAAGCCGATCTTTAAACATTAAAATTTGGCTTCTCCTCTTTTCCTAATATGTTGAGCTTATTTTTTCTTTATCATACTTAATTTATTTTTAGGTTTTCATAATGAACACTTGAATTTCCAAGAGTCGAAAATGTTTAATATATGTTATCAGTTAGTTGGAGTTTTGTGGTGTTTATGTATGATGGTGTTTGTACTTTAAGGGTTTAAGTTATTAAGTATCGCGTGTTTTATTTAGCTAAGTGGCTTTTGACTCGTATTGCTTTTGTTTTCGTGAGTTTTATGGAGGTTAAAATATTTTGATAAATCCAAATGGCGACCCGTTTAGATTTAATAAAGGGTTCCCAAACCATTTTGTATGTACACATATATACATAAATATATATTTCGATTTCATTAATTTAAATGCATGCGTTTAAAAGCTTCAGGACTTACTAACAATAGATTTATCGAACAGACTTTAATCGATAGATATTAAAGCTAAGTTTTATTACATTTTAGGATACTTGAGCAACCGTTTTATGTCCCCATAAGAATAGCTTTAATTCAGAAATTCTAAGTATTATGTGTTGTTTGAAGCTATTCTCAATTCGTTTAAAAGCTTAAAATTTGATTTAACACAAATCACCACTCCGTATCTTAACAGAGAGAAACAAATAAATTTTTTGAAGGATAAAATTAATCATGAAAATAATATGCTAAAAGTCTTTAATTACACAAATAATTACCTGGTTTACTTCTTCACAAAACTCTGTTTATTCCTTAAGTTTAATTTGGTTGAAAAGTTTAATCAACATGATAATAATGGGTTAACTCAGTATAGTGCTAACAATTTTTTTCGGAATATATCTGACGGCAAAATTACACGTTTCTCTTGTATCAACTTAATAACCTTATAGAAAAGACTTTTAGCTTATGACTTAATATTCATTTTATCCCCTCTTCCCAATTATTATTGTTTAATAGTTGTTTATCAGCTTTCAAAAACTTATTGAAATAATTAAAAGACTGTACTTTTCAGTGAGTTGTTTAATATCTTGGGAATTTATATCAACAGCTTAGCGTTATCATATGTTGATATATTTCGGAAGAATATTACAAATCCTACATATTGAAGATTATAGAAACTTTACTGATCTTATTAAAAAATACTGAATCAGTTGTAGCTAAACCAAATGTAGGAGCTGCTATAGTTATATTAAGTACGGTTTATTATATTACTAAAATAAATCAGCTAATAAGATATTGTAAGAAATTCTTAAGTTGATTTATAATTTCAACTTTTACAAGAAACACTATAATATTGACCCCACGGGCCAGCGGTAAGTTTACCGACTTAGAAAGTTTTAAATTCGGGGTTCGATTCTCCGTCTTGGACACAGCGCAGATAGCCTCTTGTGTAATTCTGAGTTAAAAAATCATCAAACAATACTGAGATATATTATACAGCTGAAGAAAATATTATCTAGCAAGTTTGCCCTGTTGGGTCATAGGGAAGGATTTTGTTTAATGTAACAAAATCTGTAAACTCAGCTGTCCTCTATTAACACAAACAATACTGAGATATATTATTCAGCTGAAGAAAATATTATCTAGCAAGTTTGCCCTGTTGGGTCATAGGGAAGGATTTTGTTTAATGTAACAAAATCTGTAAACTCAGCTGTCCTCTATTAACA